CAATATTAAGTAGTTTACTAAAAAAGGGGGATCCAAGGTCTCTGCCTTGAACACCTTACAATATATATAGGCTGCACGCAAATGGATAGACAGGATGCAATGAAAGGAAATGACTGAGGAAAAAGTGATATTGAGAATACATCTAGTTAATTCCTACTCCCCTTCTTCTCACTCTGCAAGGCCATCTATTGATAGCAAAACTTTCCAGTTACAGTCAGGAGTCATCTCCATTGGAAAACCAACCCATGTTTAACAGGGTAGACCCAGTTATACATGAGCATTGGGTGAGTTGCAAAGGCCAATTCCCTGCCCTCTTGAGGAGAGATAATGGTATTCAGGCACTTGGGTAGACAGTCGAGAGATGGGAGTTGGATCCATTTCTGCCTGGCCTTGCTGTTAGGCTGTTCCACACGCATCTATTGTGCAAGGAAACAAATTGTGTCAAAGCTTTCAAGGCAGGCTCCTTTGATGCAGTCTGCAAAAGCTTCAGTGGTGGACTCTTTGCTTTAGTGGGTTCAGGATGCACAGCTCCTTGGCTGTGAGCTTACGTAGCCACACACACTGCTGATAGGTAGTATGCTTAGATACATTTCAGCCATGTAGGAGAGAGGCTTGGCACACAGCAGGAGGTGCCTGAGATGAAATTCCGTGAGGACCTTTTTTCTGCCTCCTGATCAGCCAAGGAAAGGGCTTTTCCTCCTCCCCAAACTGGTACTGTGTCTCCTGGGGAAGTGCTTCCAAGCTATCTTTCCCCAGTTTACGCTGGTGCCACCCGTCCTTGAGTGGGGAAGGGTATCCAGGGATGCCCTCCTCCCACTGCTGCAACTGGATGAGAAGAGGGCTCCTCCACTTGTGATTGGGGAGAATAAATGTTTCAGAGACATGATCCGTACCTTTTAAAGCCTTAAATGTAGATTTGAAGCATTGTCACAATATGCCAGGATTGTCCTATTGCTCCTTCTGTTAACAGGTGCTGGAACTCTGCAAGGAGCAGCACGTTCATTACTGCTGACTCATTGGGGCAGTGTGGCTTATTAGATTCCACCCTGACAGCAGGATTTCGGACAGTCAGATCTGGTGTGGTGGTATCCTATGATTAATGTTATTGTGGAGTTAAAACCAGACCCCAGCATGGGTGACTTTTTGACTCTCTGGTGAGTGTGGAGCTCGGTGGAGATTCCAGCAGCTTACAAACATCAATAGCTAGGGTGACCAGATGTCCCAATTTTATAGGGACAGTCCTGATTTTCGGGTCTTTTTCTTGTATAGGATCCTATTACACCCCACCCCCATCCCGATTTTTCACACTTGCTGTCTGTTCACCCTATCAGTAGCACCCCCTTATGGAGAGAAAGTTCTTATGTGAAATGTCTAGTGTATATATAAATAAGGCAAAGGAGCTTAAAGAATATCACTAATGACTGTCTCAGTCATTAGTAAATGTCAGCATGTTGTTGTGGGTGAGGTAATAGCTTTTATTGGACCAACTTTGGCAGGTGAGAGAGACAGGCTTTTGAGCTACACATAGCTCTTCTTCAGCAACAGAAATTGGTCCAATAAAAGATATTACCTCACCTATCCTGTCTCTCTAATATCCTGGGACTGACATGGCTACAACTACACTGCATATAGCATGTTGTGGAGATATTTATCTGACCTTACTTTTAACCAGCAAGAATGTTCTGGAAGATAAGAGAATAAGGAAATATTAACATGGAGTAAGGGGGGGGGGAAAAATCAATGGGGATGTTGTGAAGGCCAAGATTATAACAGGGTTCAAAAAAGAACTAGATAAGTTCTTGGAGGGTAGGTCCATCAATGGCTATCAGCCAGGATGAGCAGGGATGCAAAACCATGCTCTGAAGTGTCCCTGGCCTCTGTTTGCCAGAAGCTGGGAATGGGTGAGAGGGGATGGATCACTTGATGATTACCTGTTCTGTTCACTCCCTCTGAAGCACCTGACATTGACCACAGTCGGAATACAGGATACTGGGCTAGATGGACCTTTGGTCTGACCCAGTATGGCCATTCTTATGTTTCTTATGGGATTATGCACATGGTTAAGTGCTCAGCAGGATTGAGGCCCAGGTTTCTGCTTCCTATGTGCCTCTTTAGAAGGAGTCAGTGGATATACTCCTATTGACTTCATTGGGCATTGAATCAATTATGGGTCTCATTTTCCACTGCTATGCACTGTGGATATTACTTACACTTGTGCAGAGTGGCAAGTAAGTATCAAAGGTGACTGTGATGCTTTGGTATTATTTTACACCCACTTTGCAGAGATGTTAATAACTATACCACAGGAGTGGGCATACTACAGCCCCGGGGCCACATCCAGCCCTCCAGACGTTTTAATCTGTCCCTTGAGCTCCCGCTGGGGAGCAGGGTCCAGGGCTTGCCCTGCTCCAGTGCTGCAGCCGGGGAGCGGGCGTGGGGCTTGCCCCGCTCCACGCAGCTCCTGGAAGCAGCAGCATGTCCCCCCTCTGACTCCTATGCCTAGGGGCAGCCATGGGGCTCTGCACGCTGTCCCCCAGCCCACCCAACTTCCATTGGCCGGGAACTGCAGCCAATGGGAGATGCAGGGGCGGCACTTGCGGAAGGGGTAGCGCACAGAGCTGCCTGGCAGCGCCTCCACGTAGGAGCTGGATGGGGGACATGCCGCTGCTTCTGGGAGCTGCTTGAAGCATGCACCTCTGCCCTCCTCCCATGCCCCAACCCCCTGCCCCAGCCAGGGCCAGCTCCAGGGTTTTTGCCGCCCCAAGCGGCGGGGGGAAAAAAAAAAGCCGTGATCAGCGGCAGCTCCACCGCACCGCTTTCTTCTTCGGCGGCAGGTCCTTCCCTCCAAGAGGGACCCGCCGCCGAATTGCCGCCGAAGAGCCCGACCTGCCGCCCCTTCCCCTTGGCCGCCCCAAGCACCTGCTTGGTGAGCTGGTGCCTCGAGCCGGCCCTGGCCCCAGCCCTGAGCCCCCTCCTGCCCTGAAACCCCTCGGCCCCAGCCCAGAGCAACTCCTGCACCTCCAACTCCCAATTTTGTGAACATTCAGGGCCCACCATACAATTTCCATACCCAGATGTGACCCTTGGGCCAAAAAGTTTGCCCACCCCTGCTATACAAGGTGCCGGGCAGTGGAGAATTAGAAACTTTGTGTATAATGAAAACATGCTGATAAAATCTTCATAGCTGAGGCCACGGAAAAATGGAGTTCAGTAGCTGTGCAGATGCATATTCTCTTAAAGAAATACAGTATTTCATTTGCTGTTTGAAAAAAATAATTCAAAGGGATGTTTGAAGAAAGAAGTTATTTTTAGACGACAGCAAAGTAGTATTTATGTTGCAGCTTTTTCATTTTTCTGGCTCTAATGCTGACAATGAGTTAGTTACCTGCTTACTATATATGGAATATTTCAATCAGGTCATTTGTTATCGAAATAGTTACCCAAATGACTGACATTAATCAGTATGTACAAAAATATGCAATTTTATGTATGAAATATGTACAGGAAAATTAAGCATATAAATAAAACTAAAAAATTCATTGGTTCATATTTACTGTAGGTCACTTTCACATCTCAGAATACTGCAAAAAGATTTAGCAAGAACCATTTCTCTACACTGTTTTTTTTCCATTTTATTTATAACTGTTTTGTCTACTTTCTTTATTTTTATGTTTAAGTAACTCAAATTATATGGTTTGCTTTTGATAGTCTATCCTTAAATACCAAAATGTGAGAGTAGTAGTCTCTTTTGATGTAATCTTTATGGCTATTCCAAGAAATTTTCATTTTATTGTAATTTTTCATTTGCTTTTTGTAATTTTTGAATCTTAGCACAAGGTATCTCTTTCAAATAAATTATCTTGAGTGTTTGGACCTCTAGCCTTGTTACCTGTGGATAAGATTTGTAATGCTTATATATTTTGTTAATTAACTAACACAATTCTAGCTCTCTCTCTATGAATATGTAGGCCATACATATATTAATAAAACTAATTATATTCCAGCCTTGCAAAATTGTCATGAACATTTACCAGCTGAGGCACAAAATCTACTTCTATGTCCTGTGCCATAATGACAATGGAGGAAAAAAGATAATTGACTAGCCCGTAAAAATGATTTGTTCTGGGTGAACAGAATTTTGCAAGGCTGTTACACTTCATGTGAGTTGTCAAAGGAGATCCTGTGGTAGATTTGTAGCTAGAGCATAGCCTGGCCACTCCATTCAAGTATCAGAGGGGCACCTATGTTAGTCTGTATCCACAAAAACAATGAGGAGTCCAGTGGTAACTCCCAGTAACACCATCAGTTTGGGCTTGAATAGGGAGTGGGAGTGGCTGGCTCACTACAAAAGCAATTTCCCCTCTCTTGGTATTGACACCTCCTCCTCAATTCTTGGGAGTAGACCACATCCTGACTGAATTGGCCTTGTCTACAATGGTTCTCCACTTGTAAGGCAACTCCCTACTCTTCATGTGCCAATATATATTTAAGCCTGTATCAGTTATTTTCACTCCATGCATCTGATGAAGTGTGTTTTCTACCCACGAAAGCTTATGCCCAAATAAATGTTAGTCTTTAAGGTGCTACTGGACCACCCCATTCAAGTTACACAGGAGATCCTAAGAGGAATTAGTTCCATCTTTGTAGTTGCCGGTGGATGGCAGTCCAATCTGTAGCACAAACTTGTTCTGTTATTTATTTTTATTAATTTTTAATAAAAAATAGTAGCTAAATCACAAACATGCTGACCAGTTGTCAGCCTTAACCCTGATAAACTTCAGGGTTGCTGTGGAGACTCAGTTTATTTTTAAAGGAAAATTAAAAGGTAACTTCTTAGTGGGGCAGTATTTAGTCATCACTGATCCTTCAGACACTGTGCAGACTTTCTTTGGTATGCAGTTTGATTAAGAATAACAGTGCCATGAAAAGTAATTTCAAAACAAGAATTGCTCTCTGTTGTCACCCGGAAGTACTAATTATTAATCATTTGCTTTTTGTAGGAGTTCTCTGGAATCTATCCTCTTGTGATGCACTGAAAATGCCAATCATCCAGGATGCCCTTGCAGTGTTGACTAATGCAGTGATCATCCCTCACTCGGGATGGGACAACTCGCCCCTCCAGGATGATCACAAAATACAGCTCCATTCATCACAGGTGCTGCGCAATGCCACTGGGTGCCTAAGGTGAGTCAGCTGAATCATGCTGTTTTATTTTGAATTTCCATTCCCAACACCCCAAATATATTAAACTTGGTTTGCATTTCAGCAGGGAAGATGACTTTTCATATGGTAGCCCTTAAATCTTGAAATTTATTCCATAGATAAGCTTCAAGCCATTCAAGAACAATCTGTACACATTTTTTAAAATAGTTTTGACCAATCCCCTGCACCAAAGCATGTTGCAGATGTTTTTCTACTACTTGTAGATTGTCTCATTCCTCAGTTGCTTAAATGGTGTCAATATGTTCTCATTATCACTCTGCAAGAGGGTCCAGACTCACCCCTGCGGCACCTCCTGCTGGTCATCCAGAGAATTAGCTCACCAGCTTCTGGAGCACCCTCTGCAGGCCAGTGATCAGACTTGTCCTCTTCTGTACTGGCCCCTGTGTCCCTCCCAGGACCCGGTGCCCCTATTACTGGGTGCTGCCCCCTAGCAGTACCCACACACACACTAGGTCTCCCCTCCCAGGGGAACCCCCACCCACTATCCCCACCTTGCCTCAGCACTAGGCCACTGCCAGTCACCAACTAGCCCCCACTCCCTGGGGCAGACTGCAGTATAGGCCACTCATCACTGGCAAGGAGGGTTTGGACCTGCTGCCTTGGCCTAGCCCTGGGCTGCCCTCTGCAACCCCCAGTACCCCTTGGCCTATTACCAGGCTGCAGCCTGGGGCTATCCAGGCTGGAGCTCCTCAGCCTTTCCCCAACCCTGCTCCACTGAGGTACCCTCTCTAGCTCCCTGCAGCCAGGCCCTTCTCTCTCTGAAGGCAGAGAGAGACTGTGAGCTGCCTGCCTCCCAGCCTCTTATATAGGGCCAGCTGGGGCCTGATTGGGGCATGGCCCAGCTGTGGCTACTTCCCCAATCAGCCCAGTGGCTTTTCCCTTTGCCCCAGCCAGGGCTGTTTTAAACCCCTCAGGCAGGAGCGGGGTAGCCACCCCGCTACACACTCCAACTTAATTAGTGTACAAAGTAACACAGACGCTTACAGAAAGGAATGTTTGAATGCCTTCTGAGTTCCAAATGCCATTAAATGTAATGTGACTGTATAAAGCAGCTGGGATTTTTTTATGCAAGAAAGAGTGATGAAAAAAGATGTGTAGAAATAAACCAGCCCATTTAATACTATGGGATGGAAATACACAAACTGTTCCTTAACAGGTATCTGCTACCCTTGAATATCTGTTGTTAATTTGTGATGTGGATGTAGAGAAAAAAGTAGCAAGATCAGGAACTGTTTCTTCCCTGACAAATTTATATAAAGGGATTGAGTCAGAAACTCCTGAGTTCTAGTCTTGTTTCTTGCACTGACTTGTTTACTTTGGGCAGGTTCCACAACCTCTGTATATCAATTTCTCTCTCTGTATAATTGAGATAATATTTATCTACCTCACAGGGTTATTATAAAGATTAGTTAGTTAATGTTTGTGAATCACTCTGCAGAAATAATATGCTATATAAATACTATGTATTATTGGTATTATTGTAATTGTAACTGTCAGTGTAGCTCCAAATGTTTGGTATATGCAATTAGGTGGGGTGTTTTGCTATTTGCTCCATTACCTATCTATCATGAGCCATGAGGTGGGTTGGTTGGTTGGTTTCTGGTGAGTTATTTCAACCTCGGAAATAGCATCAGAAGTTCTGTGGAAAAATAATAGTGTTTGCTTGACTAATGTTATGATGCTATCACAAGAACAACTGGTAATACTTCATAAATGTCTGCTGATATTGAACTTAAAATTGCAGTATGTAATGGCTACGTGAGGTATTTTGGAACGCCTTAAGTATGTTAGGTATTTGCACTCTTCTGATTTTGAAAGGAGTTTGGTGACATATCTTGGACTTGTGTTCATGTTTCAAGGCACTATAGAGTATTATTGTAAAAGAAGTACCCATTCCCATGATATCCAGAAAGTGTTGGACTGATTGTCATAGAATATCAGGGTTAGAAGGGACCTCCCTCAGGAGGTCATCTAGTCCAGTCCTCTGCTCAAAGCAGGACCAATCCCCAGACAAATTTTTGCCCTAGATCCCTAAATGGCCCCCTCAAGAATTGAACTCACAACCCTGGGTTTGGCAGGCCAATGCTTAAACCCCAAGCTATCACTCCACCTGTTAAATAAGGCTAAGGTTTCCTTGCAATATACAGGAAGGAAGTTGTTTTTCACCCCAAATGGGACATGAACCCACAATCTCTGACTTAGAAAGCCATTACCTTATCCTTGTGGGTACCCGCTGTGATGTAGCTGGTTCTTATTCTAGTAGCATCCTTGATGGTAGTTCTGCTCTGTGTTCCCACTCTAAAGTCACCTTTTCCTGCTTCACTTTTTATCAGTTAGTGCAGGGGTGGGCAAACTTTTTGGCCACATCTGGTTGGGGAAATTGCATGCAGGGCCATGAATGTAGGGCTGGGGCAGGGGGTTGGGGTGCGGGAGGGAGTGCGGTGTGCAGGAAGGGGCTCAGGGCAAGGGGTTGGGGTGCAGGGTGTATGAGCAGGCTCAGGGCAGGGGGTTGTGGTGCAGGAGGATGTGGGGTGTGGCAGGGGGCTCAGGCCAAGGGTGCGGGGTGCAGGAGGGGTTTGGGGTGTGGGCTCCGGGGTGGCAGCAGTGTGCAGCAGGGCTAAGGCAGGCTCCCTGCCTGCCCTGGCCCTGCGCTGCTCCTGGAAGCAGCCAGCACCACGTCCCTGTAGCCTCTGGCGGGGGTGGAGGGTGGCAGAGGGCTCGGTGCAGTGCCCTCACCTGCAGGTACCTCCCCCGAAGCTCCCATTGGCCGTGGTTCTCCATTCCCGGCCAATGGGAGCTGCAGGGGGCGGTGCCTGCAGACGACATGGGGACATGGTGCCAGCCACTTCCGGGAGTGGCACGGGGTCAGGGCAGACAGGGAGCCTGCCTTAGCCCCGTGGTGCCAAGGGCCGTAGTTTGCCCACCCCTGAGTTAGTGGGATGTGTAAGTGCAGACAAACTCACAGAGTTGATCTTCACTATGCAATACCTCCTCCTCTGATAAACTGCAGATATTAATCTAGAGGCACAGAACATTCAGAAAGCATTAAACTGGTTTATGCTTCAGAACATCAAGAACTTTCCCGTTTACCTTCCACAAGTCTCTGTTCTAAACCTGTCACAGTGAGGAATGCTAAGCATCATGTAACGTGAAGGGCAGAAATGTCCCACTAATCACTTGATGTATCTTGGAATGATGTCCTCTGAGCTATTTTTGTGTCTTAGGTGATAACGTCCTATTGGGCATTTAAAAATATATGTATATTTTAAAAGTAAAATCATCAGCATCCTGTATGTTTATCTGTGAAAGGGCAGCTCATTTCCTGCTTTCCATTAATCTCTCTGTCTCTGTGTTTTGTGAGATTGTAGAATGAGAGAAGGAGCATAATGTCTTTGAGAAAAAGACTACAATGCTTTGAGCCTTAGAGTACCTGACAGCATATTGCATCCAATGCATAGTTTAAACAATTTGTTATACTATATTTTAAGTGTTCCCACTCAACTTTAAAGGCCATCATTACTTCTTCCTATTTATGTCTAGATGCATGTACCCTCTGGTGCACATTTGTGATAACCTGTGGGTCTCACAAAGAAAGACAGATAATATTTAAAGCAAGATGATATAATAGCTTCCAGGTTGAGCCTGTTTATGCATATCCATTTGGTTTCAAATATGTACCTTTATGGAAAGCACATTATCTTTTTCTTTGAGACATTCACTTTCTTATTAGAGACAAGACTTCCTCTTCTGCCCTCTCATCTTCAGTTTTGCTTTTTCCCCTTAACTATGACTCCTTTAATTTGCTTGTGAGGGAGCAATGTTGGCAGCTAGCACCTGTAGATATGCAGCACATAAGATTTTCACTGATATATCTTAGAAAAATATTTTCTGAATCTGTTTCTTTCTTTAAAATGTGTTTTTGAATGTTTCCAAGTGTATAATACCGATGGGCCTTTGAGCACAATCAAGATGAGATAGGAAAAGTTTAATGCTTTTTTAATGCTATAGCTTCAATGTTTACTTGGTTACATGATATTTTTGCAGTTGGGAGGTTTAAATAAAGAGAGAGATGAGATAAGCTATAGTGCAACTGCTGCCTAGACATTATGCTGATGGTTACCTTACAATGACTTATAGTAGTCATTGCTAGATCTTTGCTTCGTATTTTAAAGTTGTATGGGCTTAATCCGACAACCCTCCCTCACAGATGTAGTCCAGTTGAAGTCAATGTGTCCATTCATGTGAATGATTGCTGCAGAATCGAGCCCTAATTTTGTGTTGTTCAGTTTATGTCTTGCTGAATGGAGAGTTGTTTATTAAGTGTAGTGCTTACGCTTTTGTGCCATGAAAAAAGCCAGTAATTCTGTTAACCGCACAAGTGCTATTAGTTTCATATAACTTGGGTATTTTAAAATTATTTAGAACATTAAAAGCTGGAAGTACAAAATAGCACCCATTATTCCTCATTCCAATATAAATATTCATCTTTCATAACATTTTGAGGTATCGCATATGACATATTACACAGTAACTCCCAATTATCTTGTCTCCCCAGTGTGGTGCCAGGAATTAGCACATTCAGCTCTGTGAAACGTTGCCAGTTTCAGTGCTTGTGTGTTTCAGCTAAGACTGATGATTTCTGTTCACATGTTTTTAAAATCCTGGATCTTTGTTTTATCATTCTGGTTCATTTGAATCCTTTAAAGTGAAGATGAACATCAAAATGAAAACTATGAGTTTTGTTAACTTTCAGGTGTTGTGTATGGCTCATACTGGGTCATTTGAACCTTAAAGCCCTAATGTGTGATTTTAACATGTCACCTTGTCCTATATATAACTATCATGGTTATTTATTTACAAAACCAAAACAAATCTAAAAACATCAATCTTGAAAAAAATCACATTTATCCAAAGACCACAACATTTTTCAGTTTGAGTTTTGAGAAAAGGCTTTTGGTGCC